GCTGCTGCGCGAGGACGACAACAAGTACTGCGCCGACTGCGAGGCCAAAGGTAGTGCAGCGGCGTGGACCTTCCGCGGTGGGGGCGGGGGACGGCGAGTCTGTCTCCCCCCTTCGGCTGCCCCACTCTCCTCCGGGCCGGCGGTGCTGGCCGGCTGTTCCCCCTTGCCACCCTCGGTTCACAGCTGCTTTGCGGGGCCGCGGGGCTCGGCCCCTTTTCCGACACCCGTGGCCCCCTGACCCCGGTGTGACCACGGCCTGGACCCTCCCTCTCAGGTGTCACCTCGTCCTGTTTCACACCCCTATCCCTATGTGGCCTCGTCCTTCTCTCCGCTGACCCCAGTGTGACCGCGGCCTGGCCCCTCCCTAGCCCGTTGTCACCTTGTCTTGTTCCTCCCCGACCCCGGTGTCACCTCATCCTGCTCTCCCCTGACACCGATGCGGCTTCGTCCTGCTCCCCTCCCTGCCCCCTCTGCCCTTTCCTGCATCCGGTATGGCCTCCAGTCTCAGCCTCACCGCCGACCCCGCCTCCCGCCCCCCCCCCAGCTGTGACTACGGCCTGACCCCCTTTCGGGTGTCCCCAGGTGGACCCACCTGCAGCTCCGTGCAGGGCTCTGGCCTCTGCCCCTGAAGAACATGCTAGTCTTTTTTGTGGGTTGAGTTTTGCTGATTACAATAATTGGGGCAGGGTCCTTGTTGGCGGTAGCATTCATTGGCGTTTAGTCTGTGATTAGCCTGGATGAAGAGAATGTCTTGGAGCACGGTGGTGGCTCATGTTCTTGAAGATCTCATTAAGTGGGTGCTCCCCACAGGCCGGCTTTGGGAAAGTGTGGACGCTGGCTTGTGTGCAAAGCATTGTCGGGACCCAGAGATGGAAAAGTCCTAATTTTAGTTTGTTCACTTGGAGGGCTTCTGCTCAGCCTTTGAAATAGAGCCACTATTTTTAGCTGCATGTTTTGTGTTTGGAGATCTGATTTATAGTTAATGTCTGGTAAGCTCATGGGGAAACATGTTTCTGATTTTTTAAAACAAATGTCTCATGTAGTTTGGTAAAGACTTTGCTTATTTTTGATTGGTTTGTTTCATTATTCGGTGAGATCTAAGTAGTTCTCCAAAGCAGGAGGCAGTCTGTCTTTGGGGACTGTCATTGAAGAATCTGCGTTATTTGACCTAGACATTTCCTGAAGCTTTTCTGTGCCTTCTCAGTACTCTCAGTGAGTCACCTTCCAGTAGGCTGTTGATCTGTGATTAGACTGAGCTGCACCGTGGCGGGGAGTTATTCCACTGTCATCACAGGTGCTGATTACCAGAAAAATCGCGTGGGAATACCATAATGAGACCATTTTATGAAGCGCTTTTCAATGTAGTAACTTGCCTGAGTCAGCCTTGCATTTTTCCTGTGTAACCTTTCAGATGATGAGTTTAAAACAATTGTGTGCCTGGTTCTTGTGTAATGTGTGTTTCCCTGATAACTTCACTGTGTGTGGTTGTTGGGGAATACTCTACTGCGCCTGGGCCCAGTGGCCTGCCAAGCACTAACTGTGCCAGTGAAAAGTGGGCCATTGAAAGGCTAGGAGAGAATCATTTTGAGTAATAAATAACATGGTTAAGTAGAGATGCTGGTTGATATTAAATGTTTATTAAAAATGGAATAGTGGCTGGTCACCATGCTTCATACCTGTACTTCCAGCACATTAGGAGGCTGAAATGGGAGGATTGCTTGAGACCTGGAGTTTGAAACCAGCCTGGGCAACATAACAAGACCCTAAATACAAAATTAACTGGGTGTGGTGGCATGCACTTGAAGTCCCAGCCAGCTGGGAGGCTGAGATGGGAGGATTGCTTGAGCCCAGGATGCAGAGGCTGCAGTGAACCAGGATTGCTCCACTACACCCCAGTCTGGGCAACAGAGTGAGACTTTGTCTCAAAAAAAAAAAAAAAAGAATAGTAGCAGTTTCAGAATTAACCTTTTTTTATGTATAGAAATAATTAAAATTTTCTTTCTCTAAACATGTACTTTATAAAATTAGATTTTCACTAATGCTTCCTAAAATAAAATAAAATTTTAAAAGCCAGTATTTATTACGTTAACTTTTTTTTTATAATCGATATTTTTAATTTTGATATTGTGGGGTACAGTCAAGGGTTAGGTATACAGATATGCTTCATTCAGGCCCCCTTGTTGATAATTGGTGTCTCCCTGTCTCCAGACAGATGTTTACTACCATTAGTCCCATCCCCCCCATAGTTTCCCAACACTGTCAGTCATTTTCTTATAGTAGTGCATTGGATTATCAAGGTCCACTATATGAGTGAGAATATGTGGTACGCAGATCTTTGTTTCTGTGAGAGGTCACTTAGTATTATAGACTCTAGCTCCATCCAGGTTGCTGCAAAATTCATGATTTTGTTCTTTTTTATGGCTGCATAGTATTCCATCGTGTGTATGTACCACATTTTTTTAATCCAGTCCTCTTTTGATGGACAGCGTGGTTGGTTCCAGGTTCTTGCAACATTAACTTTTTAAAATTTGCTTTTTGGGGGTGGGTGAGGAGGAGAGAATCATGTACTTCTTAAATAAGGATCAAAAGTCTTCATGCCTGAGGAGTAGGAAGCATTTGTCTGCTCACTGGTTGTACTGAAACAGTAGATGTGGGTTGCATGAGTGGCTCTTGCATTTTGAATTTGGCTGTTCTTTTGTTTGTTGGCTCGTTTTTGAGCAGGGAAGGGAGTGGGAGAGAAGAGAATAGTATCAAGAGTTCAGTGCTAGCCAGGCATGGTGGCTCACACCCGTAATTCCTGCACTGGAAAGCCAAGGCAAGAGAACTGCCTGAGTCTAGGAATTTTAGACCTTTAGCCAAGAGTGGTGGCATGCACCTGTAGTCCCAGCTATTCAGGTGGCAGGAGGTCAGGGCTGCAGTATGTAGCAGTGAGCATGCCTTTGCACTGCAGCCTGGGCTACAGAGTGAGACTCCAATTCAAAACAAACAAAACAAAAAACAAAACAGAGTTTGAAGTGCAGGATTTAGGAGAAGTCAGGGTTTAGAATGGTTTTTTTTGCCTTGCTGCTACTAAATTTATAATAATGTTAAAATGATCGTGTATCCAATCTAGTCTTTCTGAAAAGAAATCACAGGTAAGGCCACTTACTGGTTTATTTATTTATTTATTTATTTGAGTTGGAGTCTCACTCCATCGCCCAGACTGTAATGCAGTGGCACGCTCCTGGTTACCGCAACCTCGACCTGCTGGGTTCCAGCGATCCTTCTGCCTTAGCCTTCCAAGTAGCCAGAACTACAGGCACGCACTATATTACGCCTGGTTAATTTTTTATTTTATTTTATTTTTATTTTTATTTTTTGAATTGGAGTCTTACTCTGTCGCCCAGACTGGAGTGCAGTGGCCGTTCCCGGCCACCACAGCCTCGAGCTACTGGGCTCTGGTGATCCTTCCGCCTCAGCCTTCCAAGTAGCCAGCATTACATGCATGCACTACCACGCCCGGCTGATTTTTTGATTTACCACGCCCGGCTGATTTTTTGATGTATTGTAGAGATAAGGTCTCGCTGCCCAGGCGGGTCTTGAGCCCGCGGGCTCAGGCAATCCACTCACCTCAGCCTCCCAAAGGCACGGGATTACAGGCTGAGCCACCGAGCCCGGCAATTTTTTATTCATTGTAGAAATGAGGTCTCGCCAAGTTGCCCGGGCGGGTCTCGAACCAGCGGGCTCAGGTGATCCACTTGCCTCTCCCTTCCAAAGCACTGGGATTATAGGCTGAGACACTGAGCCCAGCCTACTTACTGGTTTAATTAGACTTGATTTCGTAGTTCATAGGAGTGCGATGGCACAAATAGACTTGATAACTGGAAAATTTGACATGATTGAGCAATTGATAGGTTTAAATATGTTTTTGTGAAGTTTTTGAATCTTTGGTGTGGTTGAACCCCTCTTTGGAGCCGCTTGTAGGAGAATTCTTGGCTTGTTAAGTGATTTTGGATCTATTGCACAGAATGACATAGTACATGTAGGTAGGAAATTCTGGTGAAATGCACTTTGGAAGACATGCAGAGGGGTCTTAGTCCACAGCTCAGTGGTTAGGAGGCTCCATTCTGTTTGGGTATTGGCATTTTCTTCATCGTCTGTGTCAAGCTCTTCATGGACTTTGTTTTGAAGTTATTGCCCAGTTAACTTACTTTTCTTCCTTTCCAAGAATACTTCTCTGTTCTTTGAGAACATGTACCGAAACTGAAGCCTGGGATTTGAGATGACCTGACTCTAGCCTTATAGTGGGCAGAGGTGTATCAGTTGGATTTGGACGTTTTCTTCCTGAGTCACCAGCTTGTGTTCCAGAATTAAGTGTTGAGGAAGTAAGGAAGGAGAGTAGGATGGCCTCTGTGCCAGTTTCCTGCTCCTATCCTGCTCTTACCAAGTCTGTTGAGCCACTGGAGAATTTAAGAACGGCAGATGGACTTGCTCCTCTTCTCCAGGCCACATTCGTGACACAGGAATTTAAAGCAGCTCGTGTTGGCGTTTAGTTGGTGGCACTCCCGGGAGCAGTGAGGACTGAGAGCCCTTGCCAACTGCAAGTTGAGTGTCAATGTGTAAAGCTTCATCTTCAGTTCATGCTAGCCTTGATTTAGAGCATGTTTAAACTGGCATGAGAATGAATCTCTTGCCCAATAAATCTGGGGTAGTAGACACATAAGATTTTGAGCTCTTGAGGTTCTTTTGTTCACCCTGTCTGGGATTGAGAGATTGAACTCTCAGACATGCCTTCTTCACTTTCCACAGATCTTGACTTGAGGACACACTGTTCATATTAGGCTGTGGGCTGTTGTAAGACCTAAGGGAGGGCTGTGTTTTTCACATAAATAATTCTAAAACCATGTGCTAAGTGCTGTAATAGTGGTTGTAAAAAGCATCTTCCCCTTCACTTTGGGCTACTTTGCTCTCTGCTTCCAGCCTTCTGCTTATCAGTGGTCTTCAGGGTTTCTAGATGCTGCCTCATGGCCTCTGCACATGCCATTCCTTCTGCCTGGGAAGCTGTTTAGCA